CGCGCGCCGAAGCCGAAGACGAGCGAGCGCGTTTGTGTAATCGGAGATAGCCTGAGCAAACAGAAGCTGATCAGCTAGCGAGTTCGTGCTAGGAGCCTGACAGCAAACTAGTGATTGTCTCCTCCGAGCTGAATAATCGACGCCGTGATCAATGGTAAGGGGATCAACGCCGTGATCAATGGTATGGTGATCAACGCCGTGATCAATGGTATTGTGATCAACGCCGTGATCAATGGTATGGTGATCAACGCCGTGATCAATGGTATGGTGATCAACGCCGTGATCAATGGTATTGTGATCAACGGCGACAGCGAATAACAGAGTTCGGCGGCAATGTTTAATGTTGGCCTTATACGTGTTCAGATGTTCAGGTTAGCTGTGACCTTCTCACTAAGCCCGCACCGATTCTCAAGGATAAGGTTCGCACTGCAGATAGCATGCGATTCGGATATAACCAGCATGTCTGCGCAGGGCAAGCGCATAAATAGGCCATTCGAAGGAATACAAGAACGGCTCAGTCGAGGGAATTCACTATAGGAATCGGAAAATTTTCATAAATAATCTATATAATAAAGGCTTGTAGTAATTACATTTCCATAATAATGGGACTTGTTAGAGACGGACGCGCGTACATGCACATGGGTCTTCGGAATGTGGAAACACTGCTTTCATCTGTATTGAATATTAGCTGCTGTTAATCAATCATAATTTCGAAAAAAACGTCATTTTTCGTAAATTTTGTCATTACTGTTACACTGTACACTGACAAAGCATTTATTGTTATTAACTCTTAGCAGCTGTAACATATTTGCTTCATAATGTCACGTAACGTCACCACTGCAATCGCTCTTCTTGCCATGAAGCAAAGTGTGTATAAATCAGCGTAATTAATATTTATTCGTGCGTTGTCAAAATAGATGGACAGGGCAAAGTCGATAAGGATCTAATCATTTAAATTCATTTTTCGTAGGGTTGCTCGACAGCATTACATCGTCAGTATATACGAATTGTTCATAGATTCACGCATTGACCACGATTTTGTGTAGAGATGAAAGCGGGTTCGACCACTCATCGTTATCTGTTGTCCAATCATCCCCGCCATCGCGACACGTCACGAAACTAGTCGTTCATCGTTGACTATTTGTCAACTTCACGTCACTATTCTCACGTAAACTCTAGAAAACTATCTCAGTAGAGCCACCCCCGCCGTACTACCTACCACCCACCCCTAGCTGTTATCTTATCAATCTTTTACGATCACGGGAGCGTTGTGTGTGAATGTTCGCTGATCAATGGCTTCAGATTCTGAAGACGAGCCGAAAGCTGAAGCTGCTCGTCAGCTCGGTGGGACGCGTGCCCGGATCCTACGTCGCGCATCACACCTACATCTGGAAGGACGCGCACGGAAGCTGCGTCTCCCCGCCACCGGAAGTACAGGGACACGACGCAAAGACCCGGCGACGGACGGCCGAGCGACCGGGTCCGCTACTGAAGGACAGTGACGTCAGAAAGGTGCGTATACCGTAACGGTGACGTCAGAAAGGTGCGTATACCGTAACGGTGACGTTAGGAAGGTTTAGCTCCTGTGGCCAGTGTTTAGATGCATGTAGTTGAGAAACTGAGATTTCTCGTGGGTGCAAAAATTTACGAGAACCTGCGTCATTCCTGCACGTCATATTATATTCGTTGATATTTTTTTTAATTTACCTTAATTTAAAAGAGCACATAGGCAAACTATGGAATTAGCTTGACTTTAAACGGCTACACGTACGACCGCACGCGTCTTTCTATTAGAAATTTGCTAATGCCGAACAAACATCCTACGGGAAATCGAATAACATTTGTCGAATTCTCAAAAAGTAAATCTTCTACAGCAAGCATCGCAGCGAATTCGTTTACACGCGCGTGTAACCGCAGAAGACCGTTGCGAAGCATGCGCGGGTGTATGAAAACAGTCCGAACGCACTGCTATTATTATCGACGCGCTCGCGTAGGAAGCCTACAATGTGAGCGTTTGTCACTAATGATCTTATTGCGGCCTTAACAGGTGAACGTAGTCGTCGACGAAGGTCGCGCTTTGGGTTTGAGCATCCGAGGTGGCGCGGAGTACGGACTAGGCATCTACATCACGGGCATCGATCAAGGATCGGTCGCCTACGACTGCGGCCTGAAGGTTCGTATAGCGATGCAGGGAACGTCGCGTCGTTTGTACACGCGTGCTCGATACCCCCGACGATATTTCACTATAGTCAACGGGGTATAGTATGAGAGCAACTACTTCAGCATATCTGGTGATACATAGGTTGAGTGTAGGTTGTTGAGTAAAGTGCTTTGTGAGACGCTGCTTTCGAGTGCTCAAGGCTTGAAACTCAGCGACGTATATGATGTACTTATGATATGAGGTACAGAATGATGTACGTATAGATGCAGAATTGTCGCGCAGTAATGATCGAACATACAGGTTTGGCGCGCACAGTATGCAATGTTACGTCGTAGTAGTATTGCTAATAATATTATCACTGCGCAGAATACTACAACGTAACCTATATATATATATATTAAAGTAATATATTATAGTAGGATAACGTTCGGTGTGATGAGAGCTTCACGCTGTTACTCGGCATACAGCCGTCAGTCATCAGTCATTACGTTTCAGAACCAGTATATAAAAGTATCGGTCGTCAACCGGTCGTGCCAGTGTGATCACTCGGTCAGTCAAGCAGTCGCTCACTCACTCATACACTCACTCATTCACTCGCTCACTCACTCACTCACTCACACACGCACTCAACTCACTCACTCACTCCACTCACTTCACTCACTCACGCACTCACCACTCAGCTCACAACTCACTCACTCACTCACTCACTCACTCACTCACGCGCACGCTCTCGCGTCGCTCATCACTCACGCCACTCGACTACACTCACTCACTCACTCACTCACTCCCACTCACTCACTCAACGCGCGATCGCCTCGCTCACATCAGCTCACATCACTCACTCACTCACTCACTCACTCACTCACGCACTCACTCGCTCACTCGGCGCGCGTCTGAAGTTTTGACGGTCGCGCGAGTTAATAAGAGGCGACTCCATTGAAAACGATGGATTGCAATTTTTGTTTCGTCAATTCTGCGGCCGTGTAAATTTAATCGGCAAGTTGATTACGGCGGCCGGCGTGAAGTCCTCATCGAATTAATCGGTAATTGTTCCATTTGTCGGCGCGTCGAGCTTTTCAAAGCTGCATGGCGATGACGTGAATCAGGATGAATTTGCGCGCGCGAGAAACGAGATCCGCACGCATTTGCTGTCAGGTTGAGTGACAGTGAATTGCTCACGTGGAAGGGGCGGCGTAGGAATAGGTAGAATAAGGATATACAGGGTGGATCACCGTGTGGAACAGGGACACTGTACAGGGTAGCAAAAGACTAGCTTAGGTGTAGAATGCAGGGGTTCAGGGAGTGGGATAAGGACAGAATATAGAATAGATTACAATGGGATATATGGATTTTACGGAGTGCGTCTGCGGCTCTCGCTCGCACGCCGCGTCTGGTGACAAATTCCGTATAACTGCGCCGCCAGACGACGCTGCGGTGGCGGCCACGCTCATGCGGACAAGGAAAAAGAATGACGCTAAAGAAAAAAACTGCGATGCTAAATCACAATGTGCAATTCAATTGCGATTTGTTCGCGATAAAACTTGGCGTGCCGATGTTCCGTGTACTACGTCAGAACGCGATAGCAGCGTCAGAGCGGGCAGAGAAACGGTAAGGGGCGAGCAAGGAGAAAATGCCGAGCATCGAATACCGATTGCAGAAATGCAAAGACCGCTCCGTGCACATCGCCGCCACAAAACGCTTCGCGCGACGGCCTCTTTTGAGCTCGCGCACCGCACGCGGGCAAATCGACATCTCGCTTCCGTTTCATTACGCGCGCTACTGATCGGTCGTTAAGTTTGCTGCGCGAGAGATTTCCAGAAACCTGCTGCTCACTCGCGCGCGCGTGCACCGCCCCAAGTCCCGCTCTTCGACGAGGGCTTTCGGGAACGGGGGCTAAACTGACGGAGAGATGTGCGGATGCAAGTGTTGTACATGCGCATAACCAGATTATACGCGGCGGCACTTCCCTCTCCCACAACCCGCCCGCCCACACGCGCGCTACCAAGCATCGCCGCGGTATGGAGACTCCGTGGCGGCGCATGGGAGGGGGGGCGTGTTAATGAACATGGGAGAGTTTCCCGGGGAACTCTGTCCAGCCGCAGTCACGATCACTACTACCCAGGCAATAAACGCCTAGCAGCGAGCGATCGGCGGCGCACAGACCCATGGCTAGCCGCTACTAGAGAGCCCTCTAACGTCTAATCTCCCGTTCTTCTTTAATGTACCGCTTAATTCAATATTCCGCAATCGTGGACGAGTCGGCACGGCTGGTAGATGATAGGGTGCAATATTTGTTACTGCGGTTCACGAAGTCGAATGCTTGTGATCCGAGTCATTGTCAGGGGAAATGGTAAGTTCCCATATCTGTGTATGATCACGAGAAATAGCAAAGCGCGCACGTACGAGAAAATCTTACCTGGTTCAATTCCAGGCACTAAGCCGCATGACGCTGTGCCCAGCGGGAGAAGCATGCAGTTACCTATGAGCGTGATCTGTTCATATGAGACTCTGCCTGATTCTAGCTAGAGGTGGTGAACAACAGTAGATCGCGTCCATAGGCAGCAGGCCTGAATAAGCATCGAACAGATATTAATTAAAAATACTCACACTGTTACTTCGCTTACACAACATACACTTTATTCATGTTAGATAACTACAAATTCATGCTCTATGCTCCGCTCGAAACTTTTGCCAGCTCTATGATGCGAATTTCTACAAAGTTGTCTGACTACATTTCATACACAAAAATGGCCGACCGACGACCAAGGCTACGCCACTAACTGGAATGGCACAATTACACAACAAGACCAATTTTACTTCTAATGCTTTCTAAACGTCCACGAGGCATCTAACTTTCGTGCATAATGCAAATTATTGCAATCTAGTGCCGAATTTCAGCGAAAAAAAGAAGCCAAAAAAGGCATTTTCTAGAGACGAAATAGTGCAACGGTGAACAATTGCGGAGGCTTACTGTTGCATGCCTCCTATAGACGTTCGCAGCTACTCATGGATTCAGCTCTATACGTGCTTGTACTTGCTCATATATACCAATACACGCTCATTGCCTGCTGTTAAACGCCGGGAGCTGCCGCCTCTCAAACCTTCTCAGACTTCATGCAAGATACAAAGCTAATACCTGTCGGCAATATTAAAATCTCACACGTGGACGCGTGACGATGCATGTATGCCAACCATAGTTATTATAATTATTTTCATTTCTTTGCCGCTATATTCGGAACGGCGAACGACGGGTGATATTAACGTCACTGGCAGTCGACTCAGTGACTTTCGTGCACAAACTTAGTTACACGAGCCTAATACACTCACAGCCTTAACGTAGGCTCGCCGAGAGCCGCTGGAAATCACTTTAGTCGGCATTTGTAAAGCAGAAGACCGGATTAATTTAGAATGTGCCCGCGATGCCGTCACACGCACGCGGACGCCTCTGCGCGCGCACGCGAATCGTTGCAGACGAAAGTCGCCTCGAGTGTGGCGCCCGCTGACCGCTGGCGGCAGCGCGCGTTCTTTTCGGCGGGGAATCCCGTTTTGGAATTGAAATGCGGCGGCCTCTAGCGGTTTCGCGCCGGCCGTATGTGGCTGCGCGCCTAATTTCCGAGAAGAAACCGGGACGTTTGCTATGTAGATACGTTAAATGACATGTTACACGGGCGCGCATAGTCTACGGGAGAGCCCTACTCAGGCCAATAAAGTCAAGTCAATCTATATCACTTTGCACGAGCGTAGGGCGGCCGCCTCCGCCCCGCAGCGACAGGGAATGCAGCGAATCCAATGTAATGGCCGTTTTTTAACGGCGTGCCAAAACGCGTTACAGGCGAACATGATTTCTGACTGAAATTGCATTTGTCTCGAGCGAGTCTCTTGCTCGCGTTTCGTCGTATAAGGAATTGGCACTGTCCATGAGGATGGCTGTGCGTTCAACCTGGAACGAAGTAGAGCGAAATGATGTTCACGCAAAAGAAGAGAGAGAGAGAGAGAGAGATAAGAACAAAGCGAGAGAGAGAGAGAGCCGGGGTGCACGTGACC